TTATGTCTTCTAAATGTTATATTATATTTAGAAAGGTTTTTTTTTGGCATTAAGATTGTGAAAGAATTCTTCATGTTTTATTTTAATCCTTGTGGTTTTGTTTTCCTCCATGTAAATCACTGGTCTATTTGGAATTTATTCTGGTATATGGTGGGAGATAGGGACCCACCCTTATTTTTTTCCAGTTGGCGACCCAACTGGAAAGTCTCAATGTTTTGTTTATCCCAATGATTTGATATCCCAGCTTTGTCTTACATTTATTAAATTTTTTCATGTATTTACTTCTGTTTCTGTACGTTCTCTTTTATTCCATTGGTCTATCTGCCTATTTTGCACGGTTGAATTACTGAGGCTGTGTCATACATCTTATTATCTGATAGAGATCATAGCTTCTCATTTTTAGAGTTTTCCCAGCTGCTTTTGTTTGTTTCCTTTTATATGTGAACTTTAAAATCCCTTGTTGGCATTTTTATTTAGATCATATTGAATGTATAACTTAGGGAGAACTGAGTTCTTTATGATATTATCTTCCTATGAAAACACATGGTATGTATTTCTATTTGTTCAAGTCTTTTCTTGAGTCCTTTGAGAGTGTTTTAAAGTTTTCTTCGTATAAGTTCCGTACATTTAAAAAATTTATTCTTAAGTATATTTTTCTTTTGTTTTATGATTTTTGCAAGTGAGATCTTTTCTTTCAGGTATTTTCTAACTGGTTGTTTATGTTTCTATATGAAAGCTGTTTACTTCTATTAATTGTGTATCCTGCCAACTCATCATTTGTAGTAATTTTAGTTGGTTGTCTTCGGGACTTCCAGGTACACAGTTACTTATGATGCAAAACTTAGTGGTTCAAAACAACAAACTTTTAATACAGATCATGAGTTCGTGGGTGACTGAAGTTCTTCTGGCTCGACTGGGCTCGTGCCTGAATCTCCAGTCATGCATATCCAGCCGTGAGTTGGATAGGCAGCTCTTCTGATCTTGACTCTTGCACGTATTTGGGGGTTGCTTGGAGGGAGGCTGGTCTGAGATGGCCTTGGCTGAGACAACTGGGGTCTCCTCACTTGTCTCTTACCTTCTACCCCCAAGCGAGCTAGCCAAGGTGTGTGCTTCGATTAGCTCCAGCATATTCCCATGGGGAATGCAGAGCAGCAAGAGAGGAAGGGCAATGCACAGCACTTTTTCAAGCTTTTGCCTCTTGCGAGTCCACCAGTATCTTAATGGCCAAAGCAAGTCCATGACTGGGCTCCAGATAAAAAGGGTGGGGAAACAGACTCTGCCTCCTTCTGAGAACTGCAGGGTCAAAGGGCAGGGGTCAAGGAGAGGTGAAGCACAGAGGCCATCAATACAATCAATCTAACACTTGCATCATCTGTAAATAGTGACAGTTCTACCTGTTTCTTTCCAGTTTTGAGTTCTCCAATTTCTTTCTCTTGACTAATTGCATCGGCTAACACTCCCAGAACAATGTTTAACAGCAACCTCTTGTGGTGGTTGTTTTCAAAAAGCCAGCTTTTGGGTTTATTAGTTATACTTTTTCTGTTTTCTAACTGATTACTTTTCTGCCTTTCTTTTAATAATTTATTTTTCTCTTTTGCTTTAGTTTAATTTGTGGGGTTTTTTTCTAACTTCTTTAGTCGGCTGCTATAGCAGTTGCTGTTGATGCCCCGCCCTGATCCCTCCACCAGGCCTGTACAGCATCTCCCAGCTGCTGTCGACGCTGACTGGAATCAGCTCACAGCTGAACCTCCTTGGAATTGTCCTAGCTTGGTGGGAGTCACTCTCCCAGGAAATGCCTGAGGTTATGCTTTCTCCGGGGAATGCCCGCAGCCAATGACTGACTGACAGAATTGGACAACTCCATGGTCCATTTATACCCCAGAGCTCCCCACTGAATCAGGCTGGGGCTGAGCCCACATCTTTGCCAGCTCCCCAGGGCCCATGTGCCCTGAAGGCCTCCTGTCCCTGCTAATGCCCAGAATCCTACTGCATGCCCACACTGCCAGTTGCCCATGGCCTGCTCCCCGCATGGCCTCACACAGTTTATTGTTTGCCCAGCAACCCCAGACCCTTTTCACATACTGTAGCTAGGGAGAACAGGCTTTTCTTGGAGTGTTTTTTGTCTGTGCCTGCTGGAGATGCTGGGTTGGAAGATTCTGCGGCGTCTTGTCCTGCATATATGGGAGGCAATAAGGAAACCCAGGGGCTTTGCTGCCATGTCATTCCTCAAGTCGTGGGTTCCCCTAGGCGGGCTGCCTTCTTGCACTTTTCGGAGTCCTCCTCTGCTTGTTCATTGTGTAGCCTCCAGGGTTGTTAGCTGTAAGAGGGAGGATCTGGGAAGAACAGGCCTACTGCATCTTGGCTGACCCAGAAGTCCTCAGTTATACGGTATCTCCACCAAGAGACGTAAATAATGACGAGCATAGATAACAGTAAAATATAATAAAATAATTAGGAAGTGGTGAGCTTTAAGTATTATTACCTTTTTAAAAACATAATTTATTTAACTGTAACTCCATATAAATTAATTTTTGATAATGGCTAGTGTTTAACAACCAGTTCACAAAAATTCTTTAACATTTAACAATTGCATCTCATGAACTGATATAAGCTGGCTCTAACACACCGCTGGTTTTATTTAATATACAGTTAATATTTGGTCACAACATTTTATTTGCTACAAGATTACTTTTTTTCTTTCTGGTGACTGTTTTTGGTTTATTAATAGATTTGCTGCTCTTTTTCTCTGTTTTTCTTATAGAATCATTGTACCAATTCTATGCTAGTTTCTTTTCATTACTTAAGTTGAATGACTTGAATGATTTGAATGAAATTGAATGATTTCCAGGGCAGTTTTTCTAAGAGGTTTCAGGGTTGGGGATCTGTTGGGGACCCAGGAGAAGTTTGGACAGTGGTCCAGGGTAACCCCTTTTCTTCTCTGCTGCCACAGAGCTAGGCTGCTTCTTTCCAACACAGCTTGTCTGTGTGATTCTTCGTGTTGCCCTGACGCTAATCCAAGCTCAGGGACTGGTGAGCGTCCTGCCCCCTGCTGGCTCCCTGCCATGCCTGTCCTGCTCTTCCAGGTGGGAGCTGTAGGTCTTACACCTCGGTGTGTACATCTTACATTTAGGAAGTGAATTTTTACCAGCATTTTCTGAGAGCTACCACCATTTGGCCCCTGTGCTCTGAGATCTCTTTCTGTGGTTCTTTCCACTTCCTCCTGCCCAAGTCCTGCATCAGCTCAGATGCTTTAGGCAGGCCTTACTCATGTATTAGAATCCAGAGAATTTTCCTGACCCCTAGTTTCACTGAAAATGAGTTTTTGTTTTCTGTTCTCCTTAGGGAAAATGCTGACTTCACGCAGAAATGTTTATGCTGAAATCCCCACCAGTGGTCCTGAGATCAGGTCTACTAGCTGACTCAAAAAAAGAAAAATGCGAGAATGGGCCTGTCTTGTCTCAAGATTTTCCTGATGGGCAGTTTCTGTGTCCATTTGGCATTTTTGGGAGGTTCTCTTTTGCATTCAGGAATGATTTCCCTTTGATTTTTCAGTTACCTGCTGACTGGGTGGAGGAGAGAAAGCCAAGACGGTTGAGCTGGTTCTTGTTTGGGCAATTGGCCAGCAGGCATTTAGGGGAAATGTTTAAATGTGAGATGCTGTGCTGCTCCTGAGGGCTATGCAGATGTTTAATCCCTGGACCCTACGCCCATGCAGTTTGTATTCTGGTTTGGAAGGAACTTGACATAGGGACCGTATGGGTAGTGGGCATGTCTTTTGGGACATACATGGGAACATTATCACCAGGATCTGGTTGTGAAACTATAGGACCAAAATAAGTTTAAGTTCAACCACCATTTAATGGGGTCTTCTATGGACCAGGCCTTGTGTTGGGTGCTGGGACTGTAAATGTGGATCTAACACAGTTCCTGCCCTTGGGAAGGAGGGAGTAGGATAAATAAGAACATAGATGGCAGTTAATTTTATTCCATATACAGCAAGCACTGGTATAAGCATTTGAAACGACAATCCTGAGTTATGTGCAATTATCTTCCCATCTTACAGATGAGAGGGCAGAGGCACTGGGAGGCCTGGTCACTTGATGTTGGTCACGCAGTTAGTGACAGAGTCAGGAATCAAACCTGAGTGAGGTTTCTTCCCGGCTCAGGCTGTGCTTTGCATTTAAACACTTTACATGGCAGAGTGGAACCTCCACTGCGGTGTCTGTTTAGGCTGATTGAGAAGCGGACACCAAGATGGGACTAGATGTGTGAGTGATGTATCAGGGAAAACATCTGTGAAGGTGACAGGGAGGGAGCTGGAGGGGGCAGGGAGAGCCTTCAGAATGTGTGCAGTGGGACTGACACCGGGAAATGAGAGAGAAGGAGGGGCACAGTGCAGTTATGAGAAAGTCTCAGTGGGCCCTGGGGGTCCCTGGGCAAAAGTTGCCCTTTGGGCAGGAATGGCCTGACTCCAGAACCTTGCCATGCTCAGTCGCCAGCTGGAAGCAGTCCGAGAGAAAAGCAGCCTCCAGGTGAACTCTGCAGTTGATTCCAAGGGATGGCAGCTGGAGGCTGTTGGTAAACTCTGCTCCTACGATGGGTTCTGTTGAAGGAAGTTCTAAGCCACACTCCATGTGGCCAACACAGTCCACCCCTTGTACCACACAGGTCACTCCCTTCTCCCCCGTCTCCCTAAAGGCTGCTCTTGGGTCAACTCAGACCCGTGAAAATGTCTTTACACTTGCAGAGGAGGCGATGTTGGAGTCTTGTTTTAAGGTCATCTTGTCAGGAAATCCTTTTTTCCTTCCATTTTGATGCCACAATGAACACTTAGTCTGTGTGACACACGGTGGGCCTACTTTGATACACAGTGTCAAACAAGACATCCAAAGGGACACAACAAAGACATCTGTGCTCTCAGGTCCCTTGGTCCGAAGACTCTACTCAGAGTCACCTGTAATTCAATGCCTTGACACCCGTTTTGTATCTGTTCCTCACAGGTATGATTTAAGTCTGGATGAAATGAGAGCTTTGACATTTCAGAGAGTGACGTTTACCATGGGTCTACCTCTGTTAAAACGTGCAATTCAGGAACAGGTAAGTTTCACTGTTATTTTGGTGTAATGTCTGTGTGAGAGAGAGAGATGGAGAAAGAGAGAGACAGAGACAGAGACAGAGAGAGATTTTGGACTGTTTTGTTTGCTTTTGTGACTTGTCGTAAGCGCATCTGTTTTGTCCTGGGGGAAACTGATGATGTTGTGGTCAGTTGGTGTGGGGAGTGCCTTCTTCAGCCCTTTTTCTGCCCGCTCCCCGTTAATTGGCCCCCTGCTCGTGGCCCACACATTCGCTTCTCCCGAGCTCACAGGCTGGGGAATAGGGGAATCAGCAGATGTGGCGAAATACGTTTGTTCTCAATGAAATTGTTTTGTTCACAAAACAAATGTAATTTGGGGTATAAAATTCAAATATCTGAAAAATGTAATTAACTCATTTTACAGGTTTTTAAAGCATTTTAGACTGGTCCAAAATGTATGAGTCTTATTGGTCTAAAAATTGCCACTCTAAATTTCAATTAAATTATTTTAGTCAATTTAGCCTCATTAAAGAGAAAGAAGGAAAAAAAGGAAGAGTATGTGATTAGAGAATTCCTTTGTGCTGTGAGCATTAGGAGCTATGTAGTTTAGCCAAGTCTAAATCCGTTTCCATTTCATTCAGCTTCACGGCTTCCTTAACCTAACACTTTCATAGGAAAAAATACCTCCTGGCGAGGTCCTAGGGGCGGGTCGGTAACCGGGGATCAGCTTCAGTTTGTAGAAGGCTGAGGAGCTGAACCTGTCCTGCAGGGAGCCGGCCCTCTTCCTGCCCAGCGTGGTCTGTGGAGGGAGAGTCTAAGGATTGAGGGGGTGGGTCTTCCCCCGCCGGGAGACCTGGGGGATCCTCTCTGTGGAGTGTGGATCAGAGCTGGTGGGGGGCCTGAGGTCCACCCTCCCACGCCCCTTTGAGTGGCTGTCCTGAGGACGCAAAGACAGAACTCAGCATCTTCTTGTCGGGAAGGAATCCTGGCAGAGTTTCGGCCCTCTTGCTGAGGTACGTAGCCACCTCCCAGGTGACAAGGGCACGGCCTTGTCACACTTAGATGGAGAGCGTGTGGAAGGAAAACCCCCACATCACAGAGTGAAGTGTGCTTGCGAAGCCTGAAGAATCATCTACCAAGAGTCAGGCAAAGTAGATTTTCAAGCTAGTAACCTGCCTGTTCGTGGAACATACATTCAGAGCTGTGAATACAACCAATAAAGAAAAACAACCACACCCAAACCCTCTTTGCCTTCAGCTGCTTTCTCTAGCAGAGCCGGGCTTCCACATGCATCTGGCGTGGGGCTGGTTGGAAGGTGAAATCCTGACGTGTGGCTGGTCTCCTGCTCCCTTAATCAGCCCAACGTGTCTGTGGCTTAACTTAGTGTCAATACTCAAGACCCGGACGTGAGGGCTGATCCTTTAAAGAGGTTTCCTAATGCTGCTGGACCCCCTGAGTCTGAAGGATTAGCCTGAGTAATCTTGCTCCTGATGAAGCGTGTTGAGCCCTGGAACCAATTATCTTCCTGTTTTCGTGGCTCCCTTCATGGTCTTTGGTAGCCCGGGTGACTCTGTGCTGGATGATTAGGTCTAATTCCTCCAGGAGGCACAGGATTGGCCCTAGATGATGCCCCCTGTCCATTTCTGTTAGTTCTTTCAGCCTATTTGGCTCTTCTCTGTGTGAATTCACAAAAGCCAATGAACCTGAAGGGAATCGAACTAGCCGGTCATCAGTGCAGCCGGCTCATCTCATCGGGCGGATGTCACGAGACTCAGTAAGCAGCATATCTGGGTTTGAAGGCTCTCAAATTCCATCTTGTGCACAGCTGGACGAGCTGTCCACATCCAGTAATTCTAGAAGAAGTGTTACGTGATTCATCCTGCCTCTTAATAAAAATATTGAATCATGGCTGTATTGCCTGTTTGGAGAGCGTTGCAGGTCCGTCCATCTTTCCCTGGCCCCCATTCTGAGTTGCTGTTGACTTTCGTGGATGATCCAATGAACTCCAAGGCAGAAGGCAGTGTGAAATGTGTAATGATGATGTTCTCGAGGACAAATGAGGAGTGAGCCTCATTCATTCCAGGTCTCAGTGGACAGTCCACAGGCCAAGAATAAGCCACTAAAATATTTCCACTCTGTGTTTTCCCCTCTGCCATCTGCAATAGATTTGAGATGTTTCAATAATTTTAAAAGTAAAGTATGGTCTCTGAGTCTGACTGCAGACTCAGATCAGTACACACACACGTATGAGCACACACACAGTGTGAACACCACCGTTGCACCCTGTCAATGTCTCCTGCACCTGTTTCCAGTGACATTACCGTTGTGCCCCTCAGCCAGCTGTTCTCTTCTCCCCCTGAGGATTCCAGGACTGGATCCTGGGCGTGGGAAGTCACTGACTCCCTGTATTTCCAGATGAGGAGACAGAGGACGCAGGTGGGACTTCTACTTTGTGACAGTGCTGGGACTAGAGCCCTGGCCCCTCCCTTGGGTGCCTTGTCCTGTCTGTGTGGCAGCTTCCTCAGAGACACTCGTCCCTGGAAGCTGACAGAGGCTGATGGCCTGCACAAAAATCACCATAACCAATAGTAATCACCATAACCAGTGTGCTTACTGTGCACATAGTTTATGCCAGTCACAGAGCTAAGAACTTTAAATGAATGATCTCATTTACTATTCACAACATCAGTAATGATATTCCCGTTTTACAGATGAGTAAACTGAAGCTGAGTAAATGGCCTGAGGTTATATAACTAGTGAGTTGTAAATATAACTAATGGAGCGCTAGTGGATTCAAACCCAGGTGGTCTGCTTCTTGATCCCACTTAAATCTGGTGGTTCTCGCCCCTGGCCGTGCATGAGGATCGCTGGGGGTGCTTTCCAAACTCCTGCTGTCGGGGCTTTTGCGCAGGCCAGTCACGTCAGCATTTAAATCTCCCAGGCGATCCAGTGTGCGTCCTGGCTTGAGTGCTGCTCCCCGTCCTTCTTTCTCAGTACCCTGTACTGTATCCCCCACATTGTTCCCATTCAGCATTTGGTCCCTGCCAATCATGGTTCAGGGCTGACTCAGGATCGCGCCATCCCAATATTTCCTTTCCTGAAGAGGGAGCCGGTTGGGGTCAGGCTGTTCCTGGCCAAGTGTAGTGAGGAGTGGGGACAGATGGCCGGGTAATGAAGCACCCACTCTGTGATTACCCCCTCCTCCCCTCCCTTCCCCCCACCATCTTCTGTCCCATCCTGAGCTCTGCACGTCCTCATCCCCATGATCCACATGAGTGGTGGGCATGGTAGCACCATCATTATGTAAACCAGTGGTTCTCAAAGTATGGTCTGAGGACTCCTGGGGGTACCAAGACCCTTTCAGGTATTACATGAAAAGTAGATGTGCAGCTACCTGTGTGCGTGACACCAAATTTTCATCATAAACTTCAACCAAAACAACATATGACAACAGACTAAATGCGGAAGCACCTGTGAGAGGCCAGCTGTCTTCTATGAAGCCAGATGGAAACAATTTGTAAAAATGTAAATGCAGTTCTTTTCACTAATTTTGTTTTTTTGGTTTGGAAATTATGGTTATCTTTCATGAGGATTATGTCATTTACATTAACATGTAGTGGGTTTATTACTGTTATTTATTTATTTTTAAAGATTTTATTTTTTCCTTTTTCTCCCCAAAGCCCCTCAGTACATAGTTGTATGTTCTTTGTTGTGGGTCCTTCGAGTTGTGGCATGTGGGACGCTGCCTCAGCGTGGTTTGATGAGCAGTGCCATGTCTGCGCCCAGGATTCGAACCAACGAAACAGTGGGCCGCCTGCGGCGGAGTGCGCAAACTTAACCACTAGGCCACGGGGCCAGCCCCTATTACTGTTATTTTTAAATGAATATATGTTTTTAAAATTCCCAGTTTTGATTACTAGTATGGTAAGTTGATAAATGTAACCCACATAAACAAAAGCTCTTCGGATGCCTCGATAATTTTTAAGAGTGTAAAGGGGTCCAGAGAACACAAAGTTGGAGAACTGCTGACCTAAGTCATCCGTCGTTTTCTCAGGAAGCCCCCTCTCAGATCCGCTGAGAGGGAATTGGCAGGAGACGGTAGCTTTATATTGCATTTATTATACCATAATTATCTATTATTTCGATTAGAATTTTAGATAGTCTCAGTTTGGGATGGTTTTTGTTTTTATATTTAGAGAAACATCAGGTGGGCGATCAGATCTAAAATGGAATAAGATTCTAAGGTCAGCTCACCATCGAAGGGAATGGGGAAAAGGTTTGCTTTCCTCGTTAACCCCTGAGAAAAGGAGCAGCTTTTCCTAGGAAGCAGTTACATTGAAGCTGTGGGTGTGTTGTGGAGAAGGAGCTGAGCAGGGAATATGGCAAGAGGTGAGGATGTCCACCCTGCCGCTGGTCCTTTACGCCAGCCCATCCCGCCCAGGCCGGCCCTGTTGCCCACAGCCAGTACCGTGACCAGGTGCACCCCCTCTACCCCATCTGTGTGCTGGTTCCTGACCTACTTAGAGCTCTCGGCTCTGACATCCTGGCCGTGGCTCTGCACTTGGCCCTCTGGCTTCTGTCTGTCCTGGAACCCAGGCTTTTCCTAGTGGGCTGTGACAGGCTGCCCCTGGCTCTCAGTCTTGTGTGCTGACTTTGGCAGGAATCCCTGTCCCAGCTCCAGCTCCACAGACTTGGACACTGGCCACTTGGCCAGCCCTCTGGCCAGGCCAGTCTTGGCTCCATGGGATGCTGTGGAGGATTTGAGTAGAGACAACAGGATAGAGTGCCTGTTTACAGAAGTTCCTCTGTGTAGATTGGCGCCTGAACGGAGTTGTCATCTGTGATGGTCACAGGGGTTGCTTGAAAGGGTGTGCCAGGGCATGAGTTGGGACTCACCCAGGGACTCCACTGCAGCTGGAATCCTGGTGCTATTTATTTACTGCACTGTAAGCCATTCTCCCTAATGAAAACTTCTCACTTTAAGGCTTGATTATAACTCTTGTACTGAAATATTATGTTAAAA